TTAGTTTGTTTATGGGTCATTTAATGTCAAAATTTAATTTTCTTGGGAGTTTTGGTAATTTTGCTCTTCCTTTTCTGATAATGTATTGCTGGAATTTATTTTTTTTTTTTACTATAGAAGTGTATTGCTGGTATTCTTACTAAAAAAATGTATTTTTATACTTTCATTATGTTTTGACCCCAGTTTGGAGGCTCACTATTTACTTATATCTGGTACCCTGACAGTTGCTACCAGACCAGGTAAGGATGGACTTGGGAACAATAGCATTTAAGAGATGGTTATCATGCTCCTCAAAACCTCCCAATGAAAGGCCTTGCTCCCAGATGTAGTTTATTGTCATACCCAAGATGCATATACTTTGATACAGTAACCTTAAAAATCCATAGAGGTTAGGGGTGCAGAGATTATTTACATTATTTTCATTTGGCCTAATGTCCTCATCTTTGTTTTTATTATTCCAATGATTTGGCTATTGTGTCCTCTAGCCTTCTTCAGGTGACAGTTGACCCAGGTAAACTTCAGGAAATTTCAAACTGAACTTTTTATTAAATAAAGGATTCAGTTTGAAATTCCCTGAAGGTAATGTAGAATTTTGAACTGAACCCTTTATTTAATAAAGGATTCAGTTTGAAATTCCCTGAAGGTAATGTAGAATTTTGAACTGAACCCTTTATTTAATAAAGGGTTTAGTTTGAAATTCCTTGAAGCTTACTCAGATCAATAGACACCAAAGGTCCAGAGGGCACAACAACCAAAATGTTGTGATAACAACAACAAAGATAGGAGACAATAGTCTCACTGTAAATAATGTAAGTAATGTAAACTTCTCATCCCAGAAATTCAAACATAGTTTGAGATATTAACAATGAGATGGATCTGCAGTTGTAGTTGATTGTAAAATTCTTTAATTAATTTTTATTTCTGTTCAGTTCTTGTGATGGAAAGTTTACCTTATGTTTAAATTGATTGACAAAAATCTCTAAAACCCTTTTATTTTCAGCTCTTTTTATCGTACCATTTCACTTCTAAGAGAAGAAATGTTGGGTAAATTTTTGCAGTACAAAAAAAATAAAGATTTTATTAATGTTTTTACAAGAAATTATCTGAAATAAAACCAAAGACATGTCTTTAGCCAGAAAAGAAATTATGCTTATAGTATTTAGATTTTTAAAAACTATATATCCAGAATTAAGCTAAAAAAAATTGGCTTTTCATTTTTTATCTATGAAACTATTGGCTAAAAGTAGAAAGTTCCCAATTTAAAGAATTTTAGTTTAATACTTTTGATATAAATCATTGACATTCCTGGTTTGCTTCTGTACTTAGAGAAACTATTGTGAAAATAATTGTTTAACAGTTGGAAGGATGTAAATAGATAGATTTAAAACTGAAGACAGGCTGGAGACAAACTGCATCAGTTGTCTAAACAATAAAGACAACTCAATGATGGTAGGAATAAGTATCAGTTCTAAGTTGTATCCAAATGACCAATGAAGAGTTTATTCTTTTCAACTAGTGAATCCAAAATTTCAAGCTTGGGAAATTTAGTCTCTTGGAAGAAAATATGTTTATATTAATTTAGGTTACTTGAGAATATTGTTTTCATCTGAAACCCAAGATTAAATTGTAACTGTGTTTGATGTATGTATATGTGTGTGTATTTCATGCTTGAATTTCCTTGACACAATGTGATAAGTCTTTGGGTTTTCCATCAGAAAGTGCTGTCAAACTCTACTGCATCAATGACAATGAACAGTGGGTTGATTGCTTGTGAAAACATTCATATGTGTGTCTATTCATTTCAACTGTACAAAGTTGGACATGCTAATTGCACAGTAATATCAATTTCAATGTTGCCTATTCTAATCAGAAACAGAATTGTACAATCAGAAGTCATGAAGTATGAATCCCAGTGTTAATATGTCATTTACAGATTTAATTTTCAGATTGGACAATCCTACAAAAGGAAGACTATATACAGCCTATGTAATACAGTGTGGTTTTAGCTTTTGAGGAAAGTCTCTATCTTTCTGAAGGGAGATATCTTGTTGGAGAGCAGCAATGTTCTGATAGAGAATGCAGTTTTATTTAGAGAAGAATTTTATTGAGAGCAATGTCTACCTCATAGCATCAAATATATAAATGCAACAGTTAAATAAAAAAAACAAACAACACTTATCAACAATATTAAAAATAGGAATCAGCTTTAGATACAAAAATTTAAAGGTAAGAAAAATGAAAAAAAAAAAATGTCAGAATATTTTTATAATGCAGGTATATAAATACATACCAAATTTCAGATCATTGTTGAATAATGAATAAGAAATTCATATGAAATAAATGTAACTTTCCAAAAATTTCATCTATTTCATATATGGATAGAAAATGAATTCAGTAAATATACAAAAATAGAAAAGGGTGTAAGACAATGATGTGTCATCTCAAACCTATTCAGTGAGGAGATTCTAAAAGAACTAGAAGTCCTACCAGGATTCATTATTGACAGCCACAATCTTAACAACATAAGATATACAGATGACACAGTGTTGATAGTAGACTTGGAAAAGAAACTACAGAACTCCAACAAAAGGTAGTGAAAGAAAGCAAGAAGAAAAGACTCGGCATCAATTGTAAAAAAAAAAAAGAATGCATGGTTGTCAGCAAAAAGGAACAGCCCAACATGAAAATTACAAAAATACCAAAATCATACAAGTACAACAATTTAAATATTTGGGAAGTGTTTTCACAGTGGATGGGAAGTGCAACACTGAATTCCAAAGATGCATTGAGGTAACAAAAGGCTAAGTAAAGTATTAAGAAACAAAGATAAGAGTACTGAACTGTTACATAATATGTCCTTCTATATAGTAGTGAATGCAGGACAATCTTGCAGATGAAGAAAGGACTTGAAGCAACAAAATTGTGGTTCTACAGAAGGATTCTGAGAAAACCATGAACAGAAAATTTGAGTAATAATGATTTTTTTTTGAGAAAATCACTGCAAAAAGAATACTTATACAAAGAATCAAAAAGAAACTGATGAAATTTCCAGGTTATATAATGAGGAAAGAGGGCTTGGAAAATTTGATATACATTGGATAGATTGAAGGCAAGAGGGTAAGAGGAAAACAATGCATAACCTACCCAGCTCATAAATGGATGGCAGAACAGGGTTTAGGAGTGACAAAATTTATTAAAACCTACAAAGGACAGGAAAATGTGGAGAGCCTTGGTTGCCAACATCATGAAGAAGAATGTAAAATTGCTTACAACTACTTTTAAAACAAAAAAGACTTAATACAGAACAAAGTAACAAGCTAAAACTTTAAGGAGGAATTTACTTTATTACCTGTAATAAATTCCACAAGCAATACATAGGAGAAATTTCAAGGAATTTAAATAAAAGATTATATGAACATAAAAAGGTATCTGTTACAAAACAACACACTCAGTGTATTAGTTACTCATCACAATGAGTCTGACCATAATTTTTATTTAAAAGATACTACTCCAATTAAAAGAGAAAACAGTTTACTAAGATTAAAATGTATAGAAAGTGCTTTAATTGCTAGGTCATTGACAGTAGATTTATGTCCAGGTTCTTACAAAATTTCACCTTTCTTGGCAGATATTCTATTATTACAATGTGTGACATTTAATATAAAGAATGATAAAAACAAAAAGGAACTAAAATTTTAAAAATTCTCAGCATCCCCTCCTTCACACACACATATATATATATATATATAGAGAGAGAGAGAGAGAGAGAGAGAGAGTGGCTGTGAGCACATAAATAACTCCTCTAAAAACTTGCTTCACTTCTGCATATATGATAAAAGATTTTTGTATTATTTGAATTTATCTTATCCTTATGCTCTCACATGTAACTCTTCAAGCCTGCTGCTAACCTGCATACTTTGTCACAGAACAGACATAAATTTCCTGTAAATCATTGTGGATGTCTTTCAATGTAGTCTACTTTGTATTGCTTACCATCATGAGAAGTCTTGCTTTTGAAGATTCTTCCACAATGTATGCTCAAGTTGAAAATGTTAAGGGGATTGAAACAATTTCCAAGCATCTGTTTCAAGACTGTATGATCATTGAAAGCCTTATAACCATTGTTTACCATTTTCTTCCACACATTGATTTTCTGCTAATGTTACCTAGCCTTCAGCATTAATACCAAGAGTTTTAAGATCATTTTGAACAACTTCATTAACATATGTTTTGGTTTGTGTTTTGGACATTTACCACATGGTAACTCTCAGTAAAATAACTGCTTAAGTAATGTGCCATCTTCCATTATAATAAGGTGCTTCTCTCATCACATTTGTTCATAGAACTAGGTGTATTGGCCCATTGAAGAACAATAGTGTTAGGTGTGCTGTCACATGGTACTCAAGATTCTCCTAAAACACTTCTGATGGAATTTTTCCAAAGGCAGTATGCAGTCTCAAAGAAGAACAAAAAAAATGGATAACACATTTCATACACATTGAATTTGGGGCAGATGGTTATGTCTCTATCTGACTAGAACTGCTGTATTAGCATTTTTTGGTCCTTAGGTTTATTTTAGAATTGAGAGAATCATTCCTGGAAAGTGTGTTGCCAAAGTAGACAAATATATCTAAATTTTTGCCTTGAACAAAGACATTCAGTTCAATATAGAAGCAATTTGTAGGCAGTGTATACATAAATTTGATTTTTATGAGACTGATGGTAAACCTGATAGCAGAGCATGCCTCAGATTTTGTTTGTTTTCTGCAGCTTATCAACCCTTTGCAGGTTATTTAAATCCAAGAAATAGTTTTAGATTGTAAGGAATTTTTTTCAAGATACTAATGGTTTAGTGATACAAGTTTTACTAATTAACCCGCAACTGATTGATAGCTTTCCCAAGGGTATTTGCATGCAAGTAAATATAATGAACCCAAGGGGAATTAGAACTTGGCTCTCCGATAAACAATTTTGAGCTATTATCTATTACATCATCCAAGCTTACAGCATCTGGTATTCCCAAGTGGTTACCCATCTAGATACTGCCCAAGCTCAACATCACTTAACTTCAGTGATTGTACAGGAACTGGTGTTTCAACATAATGTGGTTGTAAACACAGCATGCTCCAGAGAAAAAATACATAATTGCTTGCATGTCAACCTCAGTAAAAGTAACAAGGATTGTATTGTCAGCATAGAGAAGCTCCCAAACATTTTATTGCAAGCAGCTATGATAAATGATTGGAAGGAATGCTGAAAAATTCTCAGCCTGGCCAGGAAGACTTCATGTTTTGTCATTTGGTCAGATTTTCAAAAGTAGGTCAGTGTTTCAGTTAGTGTCCTCAGTCATCATCATATGCTTGTCCATCTGGATAAGCTTCAGAAAATTTTGAACTGAACACTTTATTTAATCTAGTTGGGGAGTTAGATTGTTCTCATTCTATTGACCATGTCTAGAGATATATAATTTAGTTCTTTATTTAGAACTGGTCAGTTATACATATTGCTCAGTGATTGACCTAACAATTACTATGTCACTAAATCCATGAACCAACACTAATCCACTAGGTTATTGCCTATTATAAGAACTAGATAAAATCGCTCTAGACATGGTCAGCAGAATGCTATATTTATGAGTTAAAGTGCTTGTTATCAAACATAGAGCATAAGTAAATATAAAAGTCATCACTCACTAGCGACAGTGTGTTTCATGCTGAAATGTAATCGTCAGGCTATGACAATTGCACTGAAGCATGAAACAGACTGTTGCCACTGAGTGTTGATGTCAATAGCCACTTATATATATACATGTGTGTGTCTGTGCTTGTTTCATTGAAAGTAATGGACAAGGAAAATTTTATGAGTTTTTATTGTTTTTCTCTGCGGAATCAGAGAGCCGAGTTTGAATTCCAGTCAGATCCTTTACATTCACTTATGTGCCTTGGGAAAGATATGAATCTTCTTCTCCTCCCCCCCCCCCCCAGTTATATGTAAATAGCAAGACAGAGTAGGTTCTATAGCCTTGGGTGGCAACCAGTTTAGGAGAAATTAACTCTGAATTCAATACTCTATGTAGCCTTGGCATAGTATATACTATACAGCCTAAGAAAGGATTATTTGCATTGGCTTTCATTCAAATTCCAGATCATAATTTCTGTTTTGGAAAGGTTTATTTTGTCCTATTTCTTTGAACACTTGTTAGAGAATGTTGATTTTCTGTTCAAGATCATTCTTATCCCAACTATGGATACATATGCTGTCAGCATAGCTGATCTTGTCATCAGTACAATGGTCTTGGGAGGGAAAGCAGGATCATTGGCATCTATTGGTAGATTCATTTTGAATGTGGTATAGAATGTTTAAATAATCAGTGCCTATCTGTTCCTATCTATGTGCAGGTTAGAGTCTAGGAAAAGATTAAATAGACTGAGGCTCTAATTTCCACTTTGTCATACTCCTGATGAAGTTTGAAATGTTTCTGCATTGGGGTCCTCACCAGACATGTAAGATTTTGTAGACTGATACAGTTCCTCTATTAGATCAATGCATTTAATAGATTCAGAGCTTGGAAGGTAGTTTGTAATGGTCGAGAAGAGGAAGTATCTATTGATGTAGTCATATGCTGCTGTGAGGTTGACATAGCAGATATACAATTTCCTATTGTAGAGGTAAGCAATTTCCTGGAGTTCCTTGATGACATGTATGTTAACATTTCATCCCTTACCAGAGCAAAAGCCAAACTGGGTCATAAGCTGAATTTTATAAAAGAATAAGAGCCTAGTTAATGCAATGTTCATTAATATTTTCACCATGATGACTTCAATTGAGATACCTCTGTATATGTGAGGGTCTTGAGTGCTACCCCTTTTTTCATAGTGTATTCATGCATGATAAACACCATTCTTGGGCAATGTATTTCTGATTTCTGACTTCTTTCATAAAATTGAGAAACTTGTTATTGAATTTGAGAAAAAAGTAATATATTTTCAAAAGTTCAGCCTGAATGTCATAGGATGTTTTATTATCCCTTCATTTTTTAATAGTGTAGATTGTATGTAACGTTTATTTTTATCCAGGAACAAGTCATAAGCTGAAATATAAGAATGTCCAAAGTAGATACTTTATAAATATTCCTGATGTTATTTCTTATTAATATATTAAGGTGATGCAAATTTTCAAAATTTGGGCCCAAATCTTTTGTTAAATAAATTCATAGCATCTTAAGATATTAAAATCTTAAAATGTTTTTCCCTGGCTTTTTATGACCATACACCATCTTTCACATCAAAGAACAATTTCAGTTTTTATTCCATGAATTCTTTAAGAATTTTCAATACTTCTAATTTGCTGGAAGTGCTGGCCCTCCCCCTGCCAAAAAGTGTTATATCGAATGAAATAAATGATCTTCTGAAGATTGTCTCTTTCAAGAATATGTTACCTGCAGAATAACTTTCCACCATAATTCTATAATTCTTTGCTGTGTTGTATCTGTAATATGATGATGGATATTGTAATGCAATAAAATCAACAATCATTTTCTATACTCAGAAAAAAAATTCTCTTCCAATGCATCATCCAGATGAACCAACTGTTTATGAAAGTGTTATAAAACACATGTATGGTAGCAAAATTTCTCATAAATTACCAACATAGGAAAGCAATCTCAGCATGTGGCATCTTAGAAAAGTGCCTGAAAACCATACCACTGGTTGATCCATGCCTTATGAATGAAATATGACAGACAGAACTATTTGGGAGCTGTTGATGGTTGTGCTAGTTCAAAGTCACAAGACATCAGTTTGAGGATACTGGCCTTGTTAAGACTATTGATCATGCCAGATAATGTGCACTCTCCCATAAACAGTAACTAAGTATAGTTGCAGTATAAACCACAGGTGCTGAACACCACAAGTGCTTGAGCAGGAGTCTGCAATGGGGATTGGCTAGCAGACAGGCGTACTCGGATATGAAGACCAGTCATTATATGGTAGCATGAGAGAATGAACGAAACATCAAGTACAGATGGTGAGGTGAAAAGAAAAGAAGAGAAGAATTTTCAACATAAAATTCTTTGGATTGCTGATACAGATCAAGATGGAATTTCTCTGTGTGCAAGGGAAGCAACTTGGAGGAAGTGAAGAAGCAGTAGGGTTTAGAGTTGATGCGTGTGCTGGGTCAGTTGACTGAGCTCATTGATGTTGTTGTTGGCAGCTTATTCATTTGCCATGACTGCCTTACAGTGTTGTGAGTAGCATTCTTAAAAGCAGATGGGGTGATTATGACTCATTGTTTTTTGTCATGTTTTTGCTTTAGTGGCAATGTTCATGATTGGCTCCTTTTATGTGGTATTTAAAATATTTTTTGAGGAGAGTTGTTTTTTGAACCTGATGTGATGCTCAGAATCCCAACACAGAGGGTGACATTTTTTTTATTTTTAGGTTCTCCTTTCTTAGCATTCACATCCAGATGACAGTTTTTGATTGAGAGGGAATCAGAAAGAAATCTAGTTTGAAGCAGTGTACCAATAGCATTTGAACAGTAACATTTTCTCCATATTCCAGTAATTTTGAATATGGAAAGGAAATTTTCCCCTTTATAGATTTCTGTCTAAATTGTGTACTGAATGCCATCCTGGATCTAGCTATGATTTCTTTCATTTCTTTCTAAAGAGGCTATGCATTATGTAGGACTGCTTGAATATTATATAAACTAATAAAAAGGAAATTGTAATGTTTTGTCATTTGGTCAGATCTGGGGAAAAAGGTCAAGCTGAGAACTTTTTTGTACCCACCTCCTATTATAAATCCATATAGGAAGCATAAAAAAACAAGTCTGCATGTGGTAGTTAAAGATACATACAGATGGAATCATTATCTGCTCTTATAACTGTTATGATTAGAGAAGTAATATTTCAGTTTTCTTCTTTGCCTAATGATTAGAGTAGAGTGAGTGATTATGGCTAAATGTAAATAAATGGCAGAACTGCCCAACAAACAAAATTGACAAAGTTTGCAATAAACAAGAAAAAGAAAAGAAAAGAGCAAAAATAATATAAAACAAGCAAACAATATATGCAAAGCAAATTAACAGTAATAAGTGTGGGATGATCCATTTCTGCTATTAATGGATCTGTCCTGAAGATATATAGTCAGGACAACTCTGCTGCTATGCAGAGTTTGTTAAACCTCATTGGAGTCAGACAGATTGCTGTTTGTCTCTGGAGATGGCTTTGGCTTGATACTGCCATGACCTCTGTCTTCGGGCAGATGGAGACTAAGTCAGTTTTGGTTTGGTTTGGTTTGTTTTTTCGGCATATCAACCTCAATGGGTTATTTAATGCTGACAAGATTTTTTTGCTGGTAATATTTTTTTCCAAAAAAGTATAGCTGGAAATATTTTATTTTCAAAAATGTATTGGTGGTAATTTTTTTTCTCTTCAAAAAATCTATTGCTGATAATATTTTTTTCAAAAAAAGTATAGCTGGAAATATTTTATTTTCAAAAATGTATTGGTGGTAATTTTTTTTTCTTCAAAAAATCTATTGCTGATAATATTTTTTTCAAAAAAAGTATAGCTGGAAATATTTTATTTTCAAAAATGTATTGGTGGTAATTTTTTTTTTTCAAAAAATGTATTGCTAGTAATTATTTTTTACAAAAAAGTATTTTTGGTATTAAAACTTATTTTTACACTTTCATAGTGTTTTGACTCCAGTTTAGGGGTTAACTATTTGCCCATAGCTGGGACCCTAACAGGTGTTACCACCCCAGGCCAAGGTGAACCTGGGAACACCAGCAATTAAGAGGTGGTTCCATGCTCCTCAAAACCTCCTGATCAGAGGCCTTGCTGTTGGGTGTAGGATAATTTTACCCAGGATGCGGATGTAGTTTATTGTAGACTTAGCTGAGAAAAACAGACAAGAATTGTACCCAATCCTGTGCTTGCAGGAGCTGATAAATTTTGACTATTGGCCCAAGTGGACATGCTCGGGTTCCCCACAGTAATATCGACCTTGTGTCATATTTCATCTCAGTGTGTGTGTGTGGGTGTGTGTGTGTTTGGGGCTAGGTAAATGCCGAGTTCATTAAAGCTTACTGT